CTGTGAATGAAGCTAATGAAAAATTGTTTTCTTTTTAATGAAGAATGAGTAATTCCTGTAGTAAATATTGGTCTGGAAACTGGACCAACTGCTCMGTTTCTATTTATCGAATATAATTAGTCATTCATAATTCTGGGATGAGRATGACAGCTTGTTTAATAAAATTTACTCCAGGATAATTGTCATGACATTAATTGTAATTGTACTTTTATGTACTATACAGCGACAACCGTCTTGCCATGCCAAGTGATATGAGTTCTCTTCAAGCATCCTTCAGCAGCATCCAAGAGTTGTTTTTAAATAAAATGAACATGTCCTGGGATGAGGTAATTCTCATGAAGATATAAAAACTTGTACATTAACAGTATATTTTATAGTATATTTTACAGTATATTTGTACATTGCTATTATTGAAATACATGTAGATTTGATTTCAAAGCTAAAGGAAAGTTTCTGTTTCTCCTCTTTAGATATCTCTGGTTATAAGTATGTTTCCAAGTCTTGAAACACTACATGTGTGCAAAAATACTATACATTCATTAAGGTTTGTAAAATATGTAGTCATGGAAAAGATTTAGAAGCATTCAATATAAATCTGTTTAGTAGTCTACATTCTACATTAGTCTACATTCTTATCAGCTCATTTTTTATCCACTAATAAGTCATCTCCCTTCCTTCCTTCCTTCCTTCCTTCCTTCCTTCCTTCCTTCCTTCCTTCCTTCCTTCCTTCCTTCCCTGTGTGTTTTTGTATTATATATTTTGATCTGTTTTGTAGAATTATATCTCCTATTACCTCATGCTTAAAAAACCTATGCCTGTTGGATTTGTATGGCAACAGTCTGACAGAATGGGATGATGTACAGGATCTTGCAGCGCTTCCAAGGTTAGTCTTTCTTTTTTTATTTGGTAAATTAATGCACATAAGCATGAGAGGACTAGCTAAAAGAAGGCATTTGATGAATAAAAAAGAGTACTGCTTAAAAGAACAGAAGAATGCCTATGTATATGATAGAATAAATCGGTGATAAAGCAGTGAATGAATGAGACAGATAATGAAAAAATATAGCAATAAAGAAACAAAAAAGATGTCTGTACAAATCAGGGATTTCATTAGAAGCCAGCAACCGTCAAAATACAGTGTCTATTTTGACCTGKTCKGACACTTTTGCCAAGTTATGGTTGTAACATCCACTTCAAAAATTAATAAAAACCCTGACAGATAATATTTATAAATGCAAACCTAGGAAACAAAATGTAACAATGAAWTAATKTACCAGCTTTCAGCTTGTTTRGATGTCTAAGTTTAATGTAGTTTGTTCTCAATGCACATAGGTTGAACRCTTTGATCTTAACAAATAACAATATTTCTGAAGTTAAAGTGAACAGACAAGGTATNATCTAGCCCTGCTTTTACATGCTATCCCTCATAGCTTATTAGCAACTTACTGAGATTTTCATTTTTTATTTCAGAAAAAAACAAGAACTTTACATCAATGAAATCCTTGCATCTTAGTCAGAACCAAATCAAGGATGTGAGTTTTGTGCTTTTTATGTCCGTTAAACAGTCCTCCCAAGCTAGACTGCGTAGCAGCTCTAGTGGAGGGAGGTTGGGGAAAGAGGGGGAAAACAAGAGCTCTTGTTTTTCCCTCGAACTCTCTCCACTTCCATTTCCCCCTTCCCCCTAAAGCAGCTATGCAGGCTATTTCAAGCAGTCACACATTGCTTATTAATGAGAGTTCATTATAAGAGTCAATAACTTTATTATCTTTTGACTTTTAGATATCCAGTATAAATGCATTGAATGATTTCCCTTCACTGGACGATTTACACATAAAAGAGAATCCAGTTTTTGAAGGTTAAACATTATTCAATTTTAATGCTAAGGTGTTTGYAAAGTGTAAAAAGTTGTTTGCTTTGACTAGGTTGGACAAGCTTTACAAGTAGACAAGAGCTAATTGCTCGTATTTCCTCTCTTCAAATTCTTAATAAAAGCCCGGTAAGTGATCCACGTGAATGTGTTTTAGAGGTTTTTTAATGGCTTCATTTTTGTATCAATTCAATGATWATCATAGATGGAAATAATATTTTAATAATGGTGATAATGATGATGATTAGAATGGTAATGATATTGATGTTATAATCTAATTATATTAACTGATGATATCCTTGGCATTATTTGATGGGACATATCTCAAGGTTGATGCATCTTTATTTTGAACAGCTCTATTTGATTCACTAGTTGGGCAACAAAGGGATGAAATTTTTGTTGCTCKTAGAAAATGCTACTGAAAATGATTATGCTGCTGTTGGTGATTATGATAATAATGATGGTTGATTTGATGATGACAATAATATACAGTTGCTATAAATGGTTTTTGGTTTGCGATGTTGTTTTGAAAATACAAATGTTTGCACTTCAGGTGACAGAAAAGGAGAGAAAGTCCGCTGAGCAAGCTTACATCAAAATGTATTCCCAAGAATGGTCATCTGCAGGCGGAAATTCTGATCAAAGTGACTATACGAAGATTAATGAACAGTTCCTGTCAAAACATCCAAGATACTTGGATCTAATTAGAGGTCGGTATGTTATTGCCATAATATATAGAGGATATTACATGGGCACAGGAGTGAGAGATTTTCAACACAAGAAGATAAAATTCATATCTCCAAGCGACCATGAAATATTCTTTTTATCATATGATTACATATGATTATCATATGATTACATATGATTTTAGCTTTTTTCTTACTTCAACTAGAGAAACCTCGAATGTGTTATTTTCACTAGTGAAAATATCAACTTTACGAAATGGAGAAATATAGTTATTTCATTGATAATTATATGATAAATATATTTTCGTTATAGATTATACATGAGTGGATATATTAATGGGCATTCAAGGCCAACTTGCATCCGAGATTCTTTGCGGTCATATGTTTTATTAAAATACTGTTACTGATTGGTTCAAAATCAAATCAAATGGCGMTTTTTGTACGTGAAAAAATCGCGCAAAGGTTCCCGGATGTTCGAGGGGCTTTAGAATRATGAGCAGTGTTAAAGCTAATGTCAGTACTTTCATGTTGTGTGATGATGGAAGGAATGCAACAAAGTGTTGCTATTGATACCAGTATTGATTGTTTTACGCTTTTTTACCCTCAGTACATGGAAAACCTGACATAGGGCTTGTTAACAAGACATCCGTCTCACTTAAAGATTCTCTCATCAGTATCCTTTCAAGACGTCTCTTCTTATCGGGAGGGACTTTTTGTCACAGCGCCAGTTCAAATTATAAGTAACGCAAATCTRCTATCTACTTCTAAAAGGTCCTGGAACTGGCTATTGTCATTTTAAGCYTTTTCCAGTTCTTTTTTTAAAGAATTTCACTTTTTTCGAACACACTCAGTTAAGCATGGGCGCAAGCCAAAATAAAAAAAAGGTTGCATATTGCGGGAAAGGCAATTGTTAAGGAGTGTGTTTTTAGCAGACAGTCCTTGACTTAAAACAGCTTTATCCTTTAAATGTCCAAATGACTCTTCTAAGAAAATTATTACAAAGAAACTGMCAGGTATGTATAAATGATATTTCCGAACTTATAATGTTGTTATAGAGAAAAGATATCATTTTCTGTGTCGAGGAGAGAACAGTTAGACGGACATTTAAATGTAAAACGGAGACTAGCTTTAGGAAAAAACATTGCAGAAACGAGATTTCAAAAAATGTCATTGACAGTTCTTATAGGTCAATCTCAGCTAGGGTGCAACCATTAAAAGCGTGAAAGAGTGCTAACCAAATAGTGCTACATAGCGCAACATTGCCGATTAGATAATAAACAACAAAGTGGTTGATGTCAAATGAACTAAATGCGTAACATTAATGTCGAATTTTGTAACAAGGTTCCATGACCATTGGCAAAGTAAAGGGATTGTTGTACAGACTATATAAAGTTGACAGCTCTGACCAGAAATTATCATACCTCGATACTAAGGTAAGATAGCATTGTTAAAGGATTATCTCCAATATCTGTTTTCCGAGTCGGATCCGCGCGAGTCCGAGTCAGACTCGGWCTTGACTCGGTTAGTCGATAAACTCTTTGATAAGGTCGGTGTAATAGCCAAATAGAATACAAACAGATTTGGTGTGAGTTGGTTGATAATAGCTAGTAGAGTCCATTGCGGCATGTCGAGCAAGATTGGTTAAAGGGCAGCTGTCAATCAGGCTTTTTTTGTTTTCAGAATGACCGAGAAATTCCCATGGAYGATGATCTTAGACATCTATCATTTTATTCTGTAACTCAAGGAGACACTATTTATTTACGATGGTAAAGCTGTACACATTTAGGCTTGACATTCAGCGGTCTAAAGATCAGACACGTGCTTACTAAGCTTTTACGTCACCTACGTGATTTGCAATGCATCGTGGGATGTATTTTTTTTTGTAGAAAACAAAAGAAATATGTGTTATCCCAAACATATACCACGATGGATTGCGTTTACGGAATATATAAGCTTCAGAGGTCTATTTTAAGTTTTAAAAGGTTGTAAACAAAAATGTCCTGTGTTTTATAGTTTGATGTTTAAATTATAGCTGAACGAATACTCGACTCGACAAAACTTGCTTTCCCGTTTCGACTTAACAATGTTTACCATAACACATCCTTTTTCATTTGCAGTTAGATAAATACTTTACAAAATTGAGCAAAACTGTATGTCATACACATCAAAAGGTTATTTCGCATAATGATTTTATAGAATATATGGCCTATATTTATGAAGTGTGTACTAAAAATTAAGGACAAAATATATTTCGACTTTTATCTGTTAAATATTCGAATAAAATTAATTTGAAGATGGAGTAATCAGGCATAATGAATATGTGATAAGTATACAAAGTTGTCATTGATTGTGGAAAAATTGAAATTCTCCAAACATTTCCACCGAAATAGAGTCGAAACGTTTGGAGCATTTCAATTTTTCACTGAATCATTGACCACTTTATATACTTATCACTTATAATATATAAGAATGAAAGTTCAATTTTATCGTGCTTAACAGAATATTACTGATATGATGCTCTGCCAAACATTTGTTAGCCAAGCTCATTAATTTATTTTGCCGAATAAAAGTATTTCGAAGTGAACTCGTCTTTGCTGCAATGCTTTTGATAATCGAATATTCCGGAAGGGTCTTTGGAATTTCCGTCACTTTTAGCATAGTTAGTACATAGTTATCAACTATAGTAAGTACTAACTATGCTTTTAGGAAGCTGAGATTTTTTTAATCGGGAACGTTGAAGGTCAATAACATGTATTGCTGTCCACATATCATTGAGACTGGGATACCTTCATTGTGCGTCAAATTCGGAACCAGAATCACTGCACTGTTACAACAATTGTGGGCCCTGGAGTTTGTTTCAAGGCTTGGTTAAGCGAGAAATGTAGGATCAAACCACATCTCCCAATCAGATGGTGAATAAAGCCGTCGGTTGACACGGCGTTCCTTGGTTCGTGTATGATTCTGACGTGATCAGTTGACTTATTAATGTAGAGTTTGTATGACTGCAATGGCGCGGATCACGGCGCAGACGCATAATCCGGGAAACATTGACATGAGAAAAAMCACGAATTTAGTGCATCATTTCGATTTTACACACTCGTTGGCAAACTTCTGCAAAGGAAACTATAATACAGAGTTCAGTGTGATTAACAACTCATTATAAAGGCTGCTTGAACTTTTCCCAGCATGTTTTGATGTAGAGTGACATCAGACCTTTGACATCACGTGACCTTCATGTTAGTGRCACGGTATTTCAACTACAGCAAAGCGTATGGGGGAAATTGGTCGTGAACTCATGAYTTAAATTATCAATGTTATCCTAGTTGAAATAGTGATATGTTGTTAAAGTGATTCGTGGTTATGTTTGGGAATAAAACGGTCAAGGAGCAGGTTGTTTTAAGATTCGAACGTCAACATTCAGGTCCAACCAGTCGTTTTAAGTAATTCCCTCAAATAGAAAGTGTTTGATATATTGTTTATTAAAAATATAAAAAATGTTAACCACTTCTTTTGCAATTATCTATATTGTTTCAAGCAAAAAAGTTCTTTTTTTATGCCACTTTTGATCATGGACAAATCACGCGTTCATTGACAAAGTGAAAAGCTTGTAGAATTCTTCRTRCTTTTGTTCAAATGAAGTTAGTTTGCGTTTTGTTTTCCATAATAACCCGTCAAATGTTTGGTCTCTTCTCGCATATGTCACTGTGTTACGTTATACATGAATAAATCAACAAACTCAACTGATTCTTAGTSTTGGCCTACCCACCCAAGGAAGCGAAACAATATGGCCTTCTAAATGTCGTTTATAAGGCATTRAGGTCGGGAGGGGCAAGGTAAGTCAATCATATTTAACAATTTTTCATATAATTGTATTTTAAATTTCAATGGAAATGAGTAATTCCTATAAACTAGAAAAACTTAAATGAAATTGATTTCGACGAATGATTAATTAATAACTAAGTAAAAATTTAGGTCAACTTGGAAAATTGAAAATCTGAAATCGCGTTAATCGATAAATCAAGGGAGAAACAAGGGAGAAAACGGCAAGAAAATGAAGCCTTATTGACATATGAGATCAAAGAAGCAGTAAAGATGTTARTATTGTTGAGGTCATTCGATCAAACGTTCGWGAGCTTAGAATCGTTTTTTGGCTATTTCACCTTAGTTTTCTCAGTAAAAGTATGCATGCCTGAAAGAAATCACATCCCTACAGAGGCTYTTTCTACATCAATAGTAACTCGTAACTATATTTATATACTATATGACACTTAATCAAACCCGAATTCACAAATATACAATGTAGCACTGAAAATGTATTACTACTTGTTAGCAAAAGCACCCACGCCCTTGAAAGATTTGGGGCTTATAATCTTTACTGTGTACATCAAAATCGTATATTAATGATTAGTGATTGTCCAAGGCATTTTCAAAACCCTTGTCATGAAGAGTGTACATTTATATCAAAAGCAAAAGTGCATTGCTTGAGTTTATTGATAGCACTAACCTGAACCTAACACTCATTTTCCGCAATAGAACAAACTTAAGATATCTCAAGTTAAAAGAAACAAAGATTTTAAAACAATCAAACCGTTCGAATTATTGCATAACATTGAACAACAAATATAAACAGAAATGAGTTGTTGTGTAAAAAGATAAATTTAACACTGTAAAAAAAGTATGTGAAATAACTTACTGACGTTTATCCTTCGTCGGAGTAAAGAGATGGAACTAGGTATAGTGTGAGTTTATATAGTAAGAGTAGCAAAGAAAATAGACCAATAGGAGTAAGGTAGGCAAGGTTAGTTTACCGCTAGTTCCCACCATTAAACAGAAATGACACTAATTTTCACAAATATACACTAAATATTGCGAACTCTGATTATTCAGAAAAATGAGCTACTGCGAGARGTGATTCTCTCGTTTTACGTAAATTAAACGAACGTGATTTCAATTTTTCCATTTACGGTCTTCGCGGTGGCACGAAATACACGCATCTTAAGAAAGCAATTTGTATTACATTTACAATTCCGTTTCCTAACAATTTCTATTTATTTTGTACTCTTCTCTAATCAACGTACTTTAATAAATATTAATTCAGAGAAATCTTCATTTAAGAAAAAAGGCATTTTTTCATAGAGTTTCATATGGTAAAATAGCGAACTTCCAACAGAATTTCTAAAGCTCAACGAAACAGTGTTAATTTCCTAATTTGATACCGTGGGAGACTGGGAAAATGTCCCCTAATTTGAACGATGGTGAAATAAGATTTCTATATAGAACGAAAGATCGCACTGTAAATAAAAAAACTCACAAAGTTTGGTGTTCATCAGATCAAATTTTAACGATTGACAGCTTTTAAAAAACTTTAGATTTTACAAAATGTTTTGGAATTTGGAAAAATCATATCCGGGCGCAGCGTCCGGCATTCTATGCATTTCTTCGGAAATTCTAGCATTTTTGAAAAGCAATAAATCGTTTAATATTAATCTGATCGACGTCAAATTCGGACAGTGAGTATTCCTCAATAAATCGTCTCGTTCTATATAGACCGTTTAAGCCATCATKCCTGTACCCAGTCTACCATGGTATGAAGTCAGGCAATAGTTCGACTTTCCTCGGTGTAAAATATGGAAGAAGATTACTTATATCATTGTTTCGTAATTCAACATGATTAGTCAATGATAAGYCAATGATTTCCGCTGGAAAAGCTGATTAGTTTACAGAATATGCAAATATTATGTAAAAATACCGTAAATTCAATTTACAGACAAAATGTCCTTTCAAATAGTTTGTAAATTTTATGTACATTCGTAAATACCTTAAAATTTTGKTCGATCAAACTTTGTAAATATACCTTGTAAAATCCATTTGCAAAGTTTGTGKAAAGGACCGATTTTGTCTGTAAATTGAATCATTTTGAACTTTTCCAATGATCAAACGCGTTTTCTACACATTCTAACACTCATATTTTGTTTTTCTCTTAAGCAGATATTATGGGAGGCCTAACATTATTTCGTAGCATCATATTGATGCTTGTAATATGTACAGCGTTTGCTGAGTTACAAAAAAACATTGAGGAAACTCCTCAGATGTCCATTAATGTCAATTTAAGACAGAAAAGAGGTTTAGAAGATAATGGCGACAACTTCCTTGATGAAACAGCTGATTATAATTCACAAAGTGAAGAGAAATCAACTGAGGAAGAACCAGCAAACGATCCAAGTAACGTCGAGGATCAAGAGGAAAGGGCGGAGGATTTAAACAATGCTCCGAAGTCCCCAGAATCTGAAAAAACAGCTGAGAGAAAAGGAGATGGTGATAGTAATGTCGAATCTCAAGAGGAAAAGGACGCTGTGCCTACCGATGAATTAAACAATGATTCCAAGCACTTCAA